TCCTTTAAATAATAATTTGGATTCGAATTAAAATACCTTAAAGGCCTCATTAAAGCTAAATTAAATGTGTAGCCAAGCATCCTTTATACATTTTAATCAGATTTTTTACCCATTTCAAACAAACATTACTCTTGAATGTTTAGACGAGAAGTGTAGTGAAGCGTTGCCAGTTGGTTCATTTCATTTTCACAAGTGGAACCCTGATTCATCTGATCAGGCTATTAAAGCAACATGATTAAGATTCAGAAATTAATAATAACTGGCCCTTCTCTCCTCTCCTTCAACTCTCCACTGGAGTTGAGGCTGTTCTGAATTGAATCCAAGTATGCATCACATTCATGACTGGATAGATAGTGAGAGGAAAGTGTGGCATCTGAAACAAACCCACTGGGGCATCCGATGCAGAGCTTGGAAAAAGTTTTGTGGGATTCTTCACAACAGCTCCTAGAATTCAATAAAGTCAACCACAAAGCAGATTGCCTTGCAGCCATGGGATCTGCATTTCGACTTTAAAATTTCTACAGTGCCCCAATATGGATAAACCAGAGAACTCATTTCATTTCTGTTCCCCCCCCCCATTTCAAAATTTTGCAAATTTTCAAAATCCAGGATACAAGACTTAAAGTTGGTGTAACAGGGACAATTCTTTTCAGGGATTTCCATTTAGTATTTTAGCAATTTAGTCAAGTACTGCTACAGTTAATACTACTTGTCTGTAAAGTTAATTTTGCAAAACACTATTTGTTAAGTTTTTGTACATGATTATATAATTATTAGTTACTTTCTTGATTTTTTTGGTTTAGATAATTTCAGTTCATTATATTATTAGTAGTTACTCTCTGTATGTCCTTCAGTTACATTTTGTTCATTTTCCCCGCATTATATTTGGTACCTCTTTAGTTTTACCCAAGTTTGTTAAGCATACTTTTCTTTTTGAGACCCTCCTATGTTTCTTTGGTGTTAGTCATCCATAGGATCATTACTGAGTTGGGGACAATTTGAGGACAGTTAACAACAAGAATCAAGGGGTTGCCCTCCAGACGTGGTTGAACTCCAACTCCAAGCAGCCCTATTCCAGCACAGTCAAATGGTGAGAAATGCTGGGGACTGTAGTCCAACAATATCTAGAGGCTGTAGGGCTCTCATCCCTGATTTCAGATGGGTTCTGCTAGAACATCTGTGCATCGACAGCATTGTGACTCTTCTGGTCCAGCCATTTGGGCTAATCACCATGCAGATGTTCTCCTCCCACCCACATATCCAAGAAACAGTGCCAAATGCCTCACTAGTCCAATATTCTACTATCACAGTGACCAGCTCTAGATGTGTATGGGACACCCACCAGCAAGACATAAGGGCAACAGCATAGCCCTGCTCACGTTCCTCCACCAAGTGCACTGAGGCATATTGCCTCTGGAGACAATTGATAGCTCATCTTAACTAGCCACCTCATCCTGCATGGATTTGTGAAATCACCTTTTAAAACTTTCCAAGTTGGCAGGCATCCCTATACTCTGTGGCTGCAAATTGGGTGCTTTACTTATGTGAAGTATGAAGAAGTATTTCCTTTTATCTGTCCCCAAACTCCCATCAGTTAGCTTAATTGGATGGTTCTGGGTTCCAGTATTAAACAGAGGAAACTTTTCTCTCTCTCCACTTTCTCCACATCATGCATAATTGCACAACTCTCTATCATGACTTCCTTTGCTTGCCTTTCTTTCTACTAAGGTAAAAATCTCTCCAAACCGTAAGTTTTTCTTGTAAGGCAGTTACTCCAGTCACTTTCCTTTTCTACAGTTTTTCCAACTCTACAATATTCCCCTTTTTGGTGTTGTGATCAGAACTGTATACAATATTGTAAATGTTATCACACTCACAGCTTCACTTTGTATCCATTTGGTAGTCCCGAAAAGACTAGGGCCATTGAATCCAATAGATATGCATATGCATTGATTCACCATTCAACAGTTGTTTCGGTAGGCTTTAAGAAGGATATAGATAAGGTGCAGCAGGTTCAGAGAAGGACACCTGGGATGATAAGAGATGAAAAACAAAACATATGGGGAAAGGTTGAGGGAGTTGGGCATGTTCAGACTGGTAAAGACAAGAATGGGATATGGCATGAATGCACTTTTTAAAAACCTAAAGGGCTATCAAAAAGAAGAGGGTGCTATTTGTTCCTTGCTGCCCCAGAAGGTAGGACCAGGTCTAATGGTCTGAAGTTACAGGAGGGTAGATTTTGATTAAACATTAGAAGGAGCCTCTTGACAGTGAGAACTGTTTGGCAATGGAACCAATGACCTAGAGAAGTGGAGTCTCTTCCTTTGGGCATCCTCAAAAAGAGGCTGGACAGCTACCTGATATGGATGATCTAGGTGGAGTTGAGCATTGTGCATTGGATTACACTCTATGGCTTATGGGGCCCCTTACAACTCTATGGCTCTATGACTCTGACCTTTAGTGGGGACTGTTGATATGATTCGGGCTGATATCGGAAGCTTTATTTTCAATCCCATTCCTAATAATCCCTTACATGGGATTCCCCTTTTCTAGAGCAATTGCATAGTGCCTGGATGTTTTCATAGAACTATCCACCACAATCCCAGAATAATTTTCTTGATCAGTTACCACTAGCTCAGACACCATCAGCATATATGTCAAATTAGCATGTTTTGCCCCAATATGTATCATTATGTACCTACTGACACAACTATATTTACCATTAATATTCCTTCCTTCCTTCCTTCCAAATTTATCATTGTCTAAGCAAAGAACAGCTATAGGCCTGAATACTATTGTTAGTACCAATTAGAGCAGAACCATTAAATCAATAGGATTTACTTGTGTGTTGAATCACCACTCAACAATTGATTCAATAGTACTCCTAGTTGAGCCAAGTTGATTCTAGCCTCTAAAAACTACACCACCATTTAGCAAATTTCTTGTAAAGCTCATGGAGATATCTTGGCTGTAGCCTCTGAGACTTCCCTCCTCCTCCTCTTCACCATAATTAAAGATGGTGGATGTCAGGCCCAGGGACCAAATTTGGACCTCCTGCAGTCTCAGTCCAGCTCTTTGGGGTTTCCTACAAGACCATGCTCCCTTCCCTGGGAGTCACACCATCATTTGTTGGCTTCATTTTCTAAAAGTTCCATTGAAATCTCTCTGGTGAAGCTCAGTTGGCGGTAACAAAAGGCTGAAGCTGGAGCATGCTGGTATTTCTGGTCCCACCCTTTTCTGTCTTGGTTTCATCCATCACTGGAAGGTGGCCCTCGAGAACTTCCCTGAAACTGGATGTGGTCCTTGAGCGGAGAGAAGTTCCTTGCCTGTAATCCACACTGACTGGCAACCAGGATTTCCAAGAGAAGTCTTTCTCAAGCAGACACTGAATCTGGGACATTTTCCACATAAAGCAAGTGCTCTATGGCCCTTTCACCTCAGAGTTAATTCAAAGACATTTACGTGTAACCCTGCAGTGAAGAATTTTCTTGTTCCTTTCATACTGGAACTAGCCTAACTCCCAGAGTTATCACTGCACTTTACAGACATGCCGCTCAGAGCAAACTCTCTATAATAACCCAGAGTTAGCCTAGTCAGGCATCAGTCAGTTCTCTTCCTTTTTTAAAAACCAAATTAAAACAACAAGCTAGTCCTAAGTGAGCAACGTGCTTTCGCTACTTGGATTTTAGCTCCTCCTGTCCTTGCATTCATAGGGAGGCACTCTAATTTGTAAACATTAGTAACCATTATTATTATTATAAAGGGATGAAAGTGAGTAGCCCTGTGACTAATTATTTTAAGTGTTTTCAACAAGCTTCGGCTCATCTCTTTCATAATAATAATAATACAGGGGGGCGGAAATCCCCCTGCTGTGAGAAGCAGATTGTTATGACAATTGGATCTTCTCCTTAGTCCTATTAATTTTGCCCAGTATAAGAGCAGAGCAGATGCGGTGGCAGAGGAGGCTATTCTGATTAGCATAATTCCTTTCAAAGACCATTTCTTTCCCTAAAGGCCACCGTAGCCACTCTCCTATCTGTTTTCTGATCTAATTACATCCAAGAGAATTCAAGACACTGATGGGCCTTAGTGGCAGATGTCACTTCTCAGATAGGAAGTCCCCTTCAGGTTATGGAAGCAAATCAGAGGATCAATTGAAATTAACAGTCCTATTGTTGTCGCTTCTTCTCATCCATCCAAGCAGCCATCCACCTTTCTTGATTCTCCAGAGTAAGTTGTTTGGTTTGCATGTAAATGAGTGGGTACAACTCTTCTCCAAAAGTAAGGACAATGTCACTTGTAATCTTAGCTTCTTCTCAGCCCAGGAGGCTGTTTTGCACATTCATCATGTTCATATCAAGGACCAAAGTCTGCCTCTTCCTCTTAGCACCTTGGATAGTTCCTTCAAGACTATAGAATCTCTGCCACTTCAACATGTAAGCCACCAGCCACCATTGGTCTTGAGCCTAACAATTAAGTGGTTCAATCCAGTTGGAATTCAACTGCCATGGCCAGACAATATGCTATCTAGCAACGTGTGTTACATATGCTTTGAAATGATGGTGTCTTCTGCTTTGCTTTCAGTAGCCCCTGAAAAAAGAGTAGCTTTCTAAAACATTGGGTTTTGATGCAAACCAAAGGCTATTCAGAGTTGTCATGGCCACCAAGCCCACCTGAGCTGCTAGGGACAATGCTAGATCAAGGATTAGTCACTGAGAAATCATGGAGAAATCATGGAGATTCAACCAGTGGCTGTGGGTGACACCCATGTTAGGGGGGCATTGAATCCACACTTGGGCCTGGACAGCTTTAAAAGAGCCCTCCAAGGCTCGCCTGTTTTTGTGAACAGGGCTCAACACACTGAATAACTCCTTTGCAGATTAGATTTGAACCTGGAGTGGTTTCACTGCCCCACTGACATGGGAGCCACCAGGTGTTGCCACAGGTTCTCAACAGGTTCTCATTACCACTTACCCATACCACCACTTTCTCTTCAGAAAGGGAATGTGTAGTGGTTTGAGTGCTGGACTATGACTCTGGAGACCAGGGTTCGATTCCCAGCTCAGCCAGAAACCCACTGGGTGGCCTTGGGCAAGTCACATTCTCTCAGCCTCAGAGGAAGGCAATGGCAAACCCTCTCTGAACAAATCTTGCCAAGAAAAAACCCCTGATAGGTTCACCTTCAGGTTGTGATAAGTCAGAAACAACTTGAAGGCACACAACAACAACAACAACAACAATGAGAACCAAAACCTGGGCCTCAAACTGGATTGAAATGGGTCAAGGTAATCTGCGTCCTCCAAAAGTGCTTGTAGTTGAGCTTCCACCACTTTCTCAAAGTAGTTGGTCAGGAAATCTGGATTAGTGGAACAACCGGACAATTTCCATGAAAGAGAGACACTTCTCTTTCACTCACACATTCTCATTCTTTGGGAAATAACTCTTGCAACCCCTATTATGACATGACACTCTTGATGTTCCTACTGTGTATAGAGAAACCTGAATGGGGTTTTCTTAAAGTTTCCTGCACAGTGGAACGGTGCCCATTAATCTGCTATTTAATAACATCAAGTTTATTTCTCAGTAGAGGAGGGGATTTTTTAAGGGTTTGTTTACTGTTTGGTGCTGTGGGTTTTTACCAACCCCCCCTTCCCCCTCAAACATCTCAAACATTTGTTTGCTGAATGTAATGTTGTTATTACATTAAGTTTCCCTCGCAGGAGCACCGAGACTTCATTACCGCTGATGCTGGGATCGCCAGAGCACTGAGGTCTCTGAACAGCGGGTTCATTTTCCCTGCCATATGTGCTGAGCTGAGCAGCCACAGTGGGATGAGTTAAAGATGGCACAGCCACAAACTTCCAGCCAGCCACATCCCGAAAAGAAGAGATGCCACTTTGACGGCTTTGGAACAAAAGCTTCTTGTAATAGCCTGGCAAAGAGGAACCTATAAGACCCAATGCATTGATGTGATTCATAGAATCATAGAACCTTAGAGATGGAAGGCATCACAAGGGTCACCTAGTCCAGCTCTTGGAATACACAACCGAAAGATGCTCGCCCAACCTCGGTTTAAAGATCTCAAAGCAAGGCAGGTCTACCCCTTCCACTTCTGGACAGCTATTACCATCAGGAAGTTCTTCCTAATGTTTAGGTGGAATCTCTTTTCTTGTAATTTGAATCCATTGGTCTGGATCAGCAGAAAAGAAATTGGCTCCATCTTCTCCATGACATCCCTTCAGTCTAACCCCATTCTGCCATGCAGGAAGACACAATCGAAGCCCTCCCTGTGACAGATGGCCATCCAGCCTCTGTTTAAAAACCTCCAAAGAAGGAGACTCCACCACTCTTCAAGGCAACGTCTTCCACTGTCAGAAAGCTCTTTCTAATCTTTAGTTGGAATCTCTTTTCCTATAGTTTGAATCCATTGCTTCATATCCTATTCCTTGGAGCAGCAGGAAACAAGCTTGCTCCATCCTCAACATGACCTCCCTTCAAATATTTAGACATAGCCATGGTATACCCCTTAATCTTCTCTTCTCCAGGCTAAACATACCCAGGTCCTTAAGTCGGTCATCATAGGGCTTGGTTTCCAGACCTCCAGGAAGCATCCAGGTGTCCTCTGGGTACCATTTTGTACCAAGGAAGAAGGACCACCCTTATGTTAGAAGGCAACACCAGCATCCCCAGATGTCCTATGATGTCCTGGACTTAAGCCAAAAATTTGGTTGTCTTTTTAGAGGAATTAAGCCAGCATGGCATAGTGGTTTGAGCATTGAACTATGATTCTGGAGACCAGAGTTCAATTCCCTGCTTGGCCATGGAAACCCGTTCGGTGGCAAGTCACAATTCACTATATAAAGAAGTATGTAATGCAGTTCACCATATAAACAATGCATAAAGTAGCTTATAAAGCAAGGTGTACAGCTGTTTGTGACATAAAGTGGCGTATAAAGCAGTTCACTACAGAAAATGGTATGGGAAAGAAGCTATAAAGCTGTTGAGTGAATGAAGTGGTGCATTAGAAGCTGCTCTCTCTCTCTATATATGTTTGTGTGTATAAAGAAAGAGAGCCACTTATATATTCAAAAGATAAGCACACCTCCCTGTCCCATCAGACATTCATTATTTCAAAATACTCAAGATATGCTGACAGTAAGCTTGCAATATCTTTGAAAAAGGGAGTAGCTTTGCATATCTGGTATTCTTGGCACTATTTACATAAAGGCAAAAATGAAGGGGGGAAGGAGGGGAACTTTGCAATATTATTTGTTCATACTTCTGTGTTGTCTGCAGAGAGGAATGAATATATATATATATATATATATATATATATATATATAAAATCATTTCCCCTGTAGGTCTTAAACCTACAAGGAAAGACTTGGGATGAACAGCATGAATAATATGGAGAATAGACATAGGCACACACACAAACAGGGGCAGAGAGCTGGATTGTCCCTTTAAGCACAAAAACCTTCATTGCATCTTTCATGTCTGGGTAGAGAAAGCAAAACACAGAGCTCAAACTAAGTAATATATATATTTTTCCTTCTACAGAAAAGATGAAGAATCCCTGAAAAATACACAGCCCGAGGTAGAAGAGGGAGGGAAGAGAGAAAGAGAGAGAGAGAGATGGAGAGATCTAGTTTAAATGTTATGAGTATATTTAAGTCACTGCCTTCTTTTCCAAATGCCTATGCTTCTGTTACTGAAATTGGCAGCAATCAGATTTACAAGGGCTGAGAAAAAGATTTCTTTGGACAGATGAAAGGGAAGTATTTTCTTCTAAATGTTGGTGCTGTGAGCCACAGAATATGGCTTTCCGCAGCTTTGCATAAGGGTGCCTGCATTGAAAGGCGCTTGTTTTCATATAAAATATAGTTATTGGGAAAGGGAAAAGGAAATGGGAATCTAAGGTTTTATTTTTTAAAAGAAGAAAACAGGAGGTGATGGTAGAAGAAGCTATTGTAGGAGAGTTGCAGAGTTTGTAAAGAAAAAAAGATGTGTATGTTGGGTTTTTTTTAGAAGAATGAGGAAGAAGGATTATTATTATTATTATTATTATTATTATTATTATTATTATTAAACAATTAAGAAGAAGAAGAAAAGGAGGAATAATAATAATTATAATAATAACAATAACAATAATAAATTTCTGTTTCTGTTTCTGAGCACAAAGATAATAATTTTTTAAAAAAATGAAGAAGAAGAGGAAGAGGAAGAGGAAGAATAAGAAGAGGAAGAGGAAGAGGAAGAGGAAGAAGAAGAATTATTATTTAGTATTTCTGGAGCACAAAGATGATGATTTTTTAAAAAAGAGAAGGGGAAGGAGGAGGAGGAGGAGAAGGAGGAGGAGGAATTTATTATTATTATTATTATTATTATTATTATTATTATTATTATTATTATTATTATTCAGCTCTGGAACACAAAGACAATGATTTTTTTAAAAATGAAGAAGAAGAAGAAGAAGAAGAAGAAGAAGAAGAAGAAGAATTCAGCATTTCTGGAGCACAAAGATAATGATTTTTTAAACATTAAAAAGAAGAGGAGGAGGAGGAGGAGGAATTATTATTATTAATATTGTTCAGCATTTCTGGAGCACAAAGATAATGATTTTTTTAAAAAATGAAAAAGGTGGAGGAGGAAGAGGAGGAAGCAGAAGCAGAAGATGGAGAAGAGTGAGAAGAGGAAGAGGGGGAATTCGTCATCATCATCCATGATCTTCTGGAGCACTGGGCAGAAATAACTGCCTCTGACAGCCTCTGTGTCTTCCTTGGGCTCCCCAGGCCCCTTGCATTGCTCTTGGAGAGATACGTTGAAAGAAGGAGACAGGGTTGGGAGCCAGGTGTCACAAAGAATGTCACAGCCCCCGGGGGAAAGAAGGCAGCTAACCATTAACAGCACTACCTCAAAGGTCCCCGGCCCGTCCTCCTCACTTAGCATCACCAGGAGATCCTCATGGTGCTTTGGGTTGAATGGAAGATCAGGGCTGGGAAGAAGGGTCCAACTGCCGGGAAGGAAAGAGCAAAGAAGAACAAGCAAGTGTTCCAGGGTCGTCTTGTTTTTGTTTTTTTAAGACCCAACACTGGGTGAATTATGGCTTATTTTCCATTGTTGTTGTGTGCCTTCAGATCATGTCTGACTTATGGTGACCCTATGATGGGGTTTTCTTGGCAAGGTTTGCTCCGAGGGGGTTTGTCTTTGTCTTCCTCAGAGAGGCTGAGAGAGTGTGTGACTTGCCCAAGGCCTGTCACTGATGCCTATTCCAATCAGCCAGCTTTCCAGGCAAGAGCCAACAGCCCTGAGTTTTGTCCCTGAGCGTAGGTTGGGATTTTCTGCCACCTGATGCCTTGCCAAGGACGGCCGCCCCACCACTAATGGTGCCAAACATCTGCAAAGGATGCTAGTAATTTCCCTGGGGTTTATGGACTGCTGTGAGAAACCACTTTCCTCAAGCTAATTGTCTGCTTGCTCCCCTGGAAAGGAACTGTTTCCTTGCAAACAGATTGTATTTTGATGCCTACCATGTCCCCTCCCCTTCCAGCCTTGCTAGCGTTTTGATCAAGGAATGATGAAAGACCAAAATCAGATTTCTTTGTGGGCAGCCTGCGTTGATCTTGACAGTTTTGATCAACAAGATGAGGTTTTGGATTCCCCCACCCACACCCTCCAAAAAATTCTCTCTCTCTCTCTCTTTCTTTCTCTCTCTCTCTCCTAATCAAAAATTATAACTTAGAAGTGGAAGAATGAAACCCTTCAAGGAGCTGGCTGGACTCCATAAAAGTAAAGGGGGGGGGGGGGGAAGGAATAATAATGATGGTGGCAGTGGTCCTTCTGTCCACATCATCAAAGTTCTGCTGCATCCTCCAGATGAAAAGACTTCCCTTTCATTCACTCCCTTTTAACACCTTGTTTGTTTCAAAAAAAACACCCTGTGTAACTAAATCAGCAAAGGGAGGCATGAAAAATATAGAAGTTGTGGTCTTTTGCCAAGCACCCAAAGGGAATAAAGAACCCATGGAGGGGAATAAAAGTCATTGGAGTCTGTCTGTGTGTGTGTGTGTGTGTAGAGGGGGAGGCAGAGGAGGAATAAACTTAGGAGGGCGACTTGATTTTCAATTTATTAATCTGTTTAATGAGGACAGGAGCTGGCAAACAGTCGGGCTCGGCACCAAGCCAACTGTACAACTGGCCATTGTGCCTTTGAACATCAACGGTGCTTTTGTGTAAGGATGGTGCTGGTGACTCTCCCAATGAATGGAAACTGAGATTTTTCTCAAGGGACAGGACCTTTTTATCCATGGTAAGGCAACTGTTGTTATCCAAAGAAAGGTGGGGGAATGGTGTGTGTGTGTCCTGACCATGTATGTCAGCATTACTTTAAATTACATTTGCAAGAGGCTGGGTAACCTTTCAGTCCATTGGCACCTGTGTATACCAGCCATAACTGAGGATTTCAGGTTTGGGTGAATCTAGAGGGTTTCATTTAGAAAAATGCAGAGTGCAATCACACACACACACAATAGCAACTCACACAGACACAGCATTCAGAGGTAACCGAAATGGAGATATGGAAATGGGATAGTGGAGTTTGAGGGGTTTGAAAGGAGGGTGATGTTTACCTGCCTAGAAAGTAGACCATGGAAAGTGTGAGAGGCTCAGACTGAGGGTAACACAGATCATACACAGCCTTGGACAACTTTATGCATACTTTGTGCACAGAGGCTATGTTTTTGAGACCAATATTTATACCTGAAAACTAGCCTCTGGGGATGGGCTATCTTGCAAGGAAAAAAAGGCTTGATTTCTTTCCCAAGAATCAACAATGGGATTCTGGAATGGCTGATGGCTTTAACTTTAGGGTGACAAAAACAGTGATTGGATCAGGACAACCCCAGAGTGAATGGACAAGGAATAGTTGGCTGGAATAGACAGCGGGTCGGAAGAGAGAACTGGATTACTACTTTGGTGCAACGAGACCACCTTTGTCTCTTGGTGTAAAAGAAAATGCAAGGGACTTGGGGGAAGGAAGGAGCAATTAGCAAACTCCTTTAGCCTTGTTTTATTGCGTTGAATACTGGACCAAGGATCAAATGCTCAGAAACAAACTGGAGAGAATGGTGAGATTCTGGCTCTGAAAAAAAAATCTCTCTTTTAATGGAAGGAGTCAGACTAGAATCATTTGGGAGAACCAACAAGGGAGTTTCCTGCAACAGTTTTGAGAGTGTTTTTAAATTTAGGTGCTATCGCAGGTATGGCTTCATTAATTTGTCTAAAGTAGCAATTCTTCTTTATTTAAAAGGAAACATTGATTGTGCAAGGTAAAGAGAGGTGTAAAGAGACTCAGGTGCCCATCCTTTGACTGCTCTGCCCTTTTCTTCTTTTTCTTTTCTGGCAGCTTCTGAAATTGTTGAACTACTCTGGCAGCCCCAGAAGGTGCCAAACTCAGCACATCTCACACTTCTAAAAAGGAAAGGATAAAACAAATGGTAGAAAATAACAGATGTTCTGAAAAGTAATTAACAGCTAATCAGTTCTGGATTGTGTGGCGAGTTTCTCTCTCTCCCTTCAGTTAAGATTTAAAATAGTTACAAAGATCTGTGCGGCAAATACAGCATTCTGTCTGGATGCGGGAAAGCGGAGACCATGAAGGCATCAAGAGGAGGAGGAGATGGAGAAGAAAGGAGGAGAGCCTCTTCAACTCTCTCTTCCTACCCACGCTCATTTAGGGCCTTCACAGCCAAGCCAGTTGCGATGTGAGATGCGTGTGTTCCTGAAAGTCAGACAAAATGGAGGCTCCAGCCTTAGGTCTTCCAGGCAGGCATCCCAGCGGGGTGACAAAGAGAACCCCCAATTTGAATTTCCCACTTGGGACAGACAAATACCCTCTTGCTGTGAGACCACCACCATCATCCATGTGGTATCTATGGCACTGCAGAGAATAGTTGCAGAAAGACTTGTGGTACTTTAAGAGTCAAACAGATTTATTTGTAGAATAAACTTTTGTGGTCCACAGTCCAGTTCAGCAAAATCCAGAATCCTACTCATGACTAACTTGTTGCATAACCTGACATTTAAGAAGTGGTTGGTCTTTTTCCTGGCTTGCATAAGGAGGTTGTCTATATGATATGGTCAGCCCTTGTATCCACGGATTCAACCATCCGTGGTTTGAAACACACACACACACACACACACACACCAAATAGCAACACTTGATTTTGTTATTTTATATATGGGACATCATTTCTATGCCATTGTATCTAATGGGACTTGAGTAACCATGGATTTAGGTGTCCATGAGGAGTCATGGAACCAAACCCCATCAGATACCAAGGGCATAATATCATTATATCATTAAATACTAAAGTCAGAATCATCCAGGTCATAATATTTCTGATCACAATGCAGGAGTGTGGAAGCTGGAAAGTGAAGAAAGTTGGTGGGAAGAAAATCAACTCATTTGAAATGTGGTGCTGGAGGAGAATTCAGCAGATACCAAGGACAACTGAAAAGACAAATGAATGGGTCTTAGGGCCAATCAAGGCTGAACTCTCACTAGAAACAAAGATGACTAGGCTGAGGTTGTAATACTGTTGTTGTTGCATGTCTTCAAGTCATTTCTGAGTTATAGGGACCCTTGCTCAAGGACACTCAGTGGGTTTTCATGGCTGAGCTGGGATTTGAACCCTGGCCTCTAGAGTCCAAGTCCAACACTCAAACCACCACACAACATTGATGAAAGTAACTTGGAGGTCTCTCATTCATAGGGTCACTGTAAGTAGAAGTCAACTTGACAGCAGCTAACAATAACAATAAAGTCACAAGCAAGACATCGGCCTTCATTCTTACCAATATTATATTTCCTACTCGAGTTGTTTTGAAACCACACTTCCAATTGCATATCATCCTAGGCTTAGTCTTCCTAAGAGCTCTCCAAAGAGACCTTTTTGAATTGTGGTGGAGTCTCCTTCTTTGGAGGTCTTTAAACAGAGGCTGGATGGCCATCTGTTGGGGATGCTTTGATTTTGAGTTCCTACATGGCTGCATGGGTTTGGACTGGATGGCTCTTGGGGTATCTTCCAACTCTATGATTCCAAGACAGCCTTCGGGTGGTCTCCAGTCCAGGTGTAACCCTGCCTGCTCATGCTTAGCTTTCAGAACTAGGCAAGGTGTTCATGGGCAGTAGAGTGGTCCCAAAGGTTCATCACTTTGGAAAGCTCCTTTGAAGTTCCTCTAAAACCCAGAGTGGATTCATCTGCCCCATTGCCATGGAAGCCACCTGCTAAGATCTTCTTTGAAAGCCTGATAGCATTCCCAGCATCCCCGTCCACTCCACACCATCTTGGTGGGGTTGCTCTGGTCATCCGAAAAGGCAACAGGGTGAGTCAGAGGGACAGCAGGTGATGACCCTTTTCCCAACATGGCCTCTTTTCTGAGCTTCTTCCTTGAAGATCCTGCCAACGAATCCCACACAGATTGCCAGCGTGTTGAAACAAATGATGCTGATTCTCAGCAGTTCTCGCTTTGATCGTAATCCCAGACGTGGGAGATGGCGAGGTGGGGGGGGGGGAAGGCCCAGAGGCCTTGGCCTCCTCCTCCTCCTCTCCCAAATCAATACTTATCTTATCTATGCTTCTCTCTCAACATGAGCTACGTCTCACATCAGAGAAGAGTGAGCCAAAGAAAAATTTTCAGGCCCTTAGAAAATTGTTTCTCCCTCCTTCCCTTTCTTGGCTGTGATGAAGCCCAAATGCATGGGGGAAAAGGGTGAGGTCTTTATGAAACTGAAGGAAAAGCATCCAACCTTTGAAACAAATACAGATCTTTCAAAGCCCAGTGTGTGCTTATGACATTTTCAGACATAGACAGCATTTTCTACATCTGCTCCTCTTGCTAACAGTTTGTTTCTCTAGTCTGGGAGGAGCAAAATATTGCTGCATGCATTCCCCATCTCCATGGGGAGCCATGAGAGGCTCCAAGGCTGTCTAGAATCATGGGGACAGAAGGGACGTTGGAGGTCCAATGTGACAATCCCATGGAGATGATCCCACTTCTGCCACCATCTACTAAATCTAGGCACTATAGTTCCCAAATAAAGTATCTGCAGCATTCCTGACAGATGTCTATCCTGGCTCTGTTTAAATACTTTAAGCAAAAGTGATCACACTACTTCCTGAGGCAGTCTGTTCCAATGCCTAAAATCTCTCACCTTTAGGACATTTCTCCCAAATGTTGAGTGAAAATTTGCTTCTTTGCAGACTTGGCAGTGGTTTGTTTTGAATGAGAGCCCAGTTTACTATGTCTACTATATTTACTTGATTTACAAATGTAGAGACAAATGAGTACTTCTGCTGAGAATGACACAAGCAACACAATCTGTTTTTAATAGTGTAATAATTTTATTCTGTTTTAATGTAAGACTTTTCTATCTTTTTAATTGCACTGTTTTTAATCTTGTAAGCTGCTCTGAGTCCCAGTTTTGGGAAAAGGGCATAATAATAATAATAATAATAATAATAATAATAATAATAATAATAATAAGCAGCAGCAGCAGCCTGGACTTTGACAACAGTAGTGGTTAATGGCAACCTTTCCCTTGAGACAGGAAGTATTTCTACAATCAAGGACCAAAATACCATTAAATTGATATATGTTTATCACTGCAACAGGTTTTTGTATTTCCATTACTTTTCACACTCTGCCCAAAACCCTGTCTGCATATATGTCTGCCCATCAAAGCTTCACTTTGTGCATCTGGTAAAGTGGACCAGAGTCTATGAAAGCTAATGCTAGAAATATTTGGCAGGACCATTAATTTGGCTGAATTAATGCTTGGTCATTAAAACAGCCATTCCTTATCATCATGCACCCTATGATGCCAACTATGTCTTTGGGTGGATCTACACTGTAGAAATAATGCAGTTTGACACTACCTTAAGCACTGTAACTCCATCCTATGGAAGCTTGGGATTTGTAGTTTTGCAACATCTTGTGCCTTCTCTGCCAAAAAATGTTGGTGCATCACAAAAGTACAAATTCCAGAATTCTGTAGGCTGAAGCCATGGCAGTTAAAGTGGTATCAAACAGCATTATTTCTACAGTGTAGATGCATCCTTGGACTTGGAGGACTGGCTGCTTCAGAGTAGGCCTCTGCTCCCTCTTCTTCTTGTGTAGCTGGATCTTCTCAGACCAGGGACTCTGATTCTAGAAGTCCCTCAGCTCTATAATCTGTCCCTGGACCTGGATACTGCTGCTGGGATTTGTCCTCCTGGTTCTCATCCTCCAATAAAGACTTGGCCAGGGAGAGAGCATTAAAAAGGAAGTCTGCAAGATTCTGGGGCTATTTGAGGGGTAGAGTTCAGCACCTTGGACAGTGCCTTTCTGACCTAGTTGGCTTTTGTAATCCCTTCCACCTCTAGGGTTGCATCCATCCACACTGCAGAAATTAATCCATCTTGACACCATTTTTACTGCTATGACTCAATGCTATGGAATCCAGGCAACTGTAGTTTATTGTGACACCAGTGCTCTCAGGCAGAAAAGGCTAAATATCTCACAAATATCTCACCAAGAATTTACCCTTGATGTGCCAGCCACAAGACTTTTTTTCCAATGGACTCTACATAGGATTAACTCTGGGTATCTCTACATCGTTGTAAGATTAAATAATGGGTGGAGTTTTTTTGCCAATAGTTCCTGTCTTATGCAATGGATGAATATTGCCATAATTTCTTTGACATAATTTCACTGTGATTTTGTTATAACCAAGTATATTATTGCACAAAAACGTATTATCTTAAATTGTACATTTGCTTCTGTGGTGCATTAAATATCTCACAAAACTGCAATTCCCTGAAGCCCATAGCAGTGAGCCATGGCAGATAAAGTGGTGTCAGACTGGATTATTTCTACACTTCGGACAGCCCCTAAGACTCTGATTCCATGGAATGCATTTATCCCAGTTAGTCTCAAAGCTACTACTGGATTCCTTTATGACTTTTTAAATATGAAAACAGACTAACATGGCTACATCTTTTCAAACACTACTAAGGATCCCCCCATTATTCTAAGCAAGAGGAAACCTAGAGGGCTTTGAACTCCAACCTAAGGTGCATCCTTCTCCTTCAACCCCCCTTTCTCTCCAGGCTGAACAGAAATACACCAATTAAAGGCGAAATGGCAGTTCATCTTCCAAGTTGACATCTTGGGGTCTGACATGTCTCTGGTATTTGACAGGAATCCTGGTTTTTCAAGCTCTTGCCTGTTGCTCAGGAGGAAACACAGAAAGAGATAGAGAAATGCACATCTGCAGACAAATCCGTGAGATCTGTCTGTCCCACAGCCATCCCAACAGTTGATTTATTTCTTAATGAGGACACAAAAAAGAAAAGCCTGCTATTTAAATGGTGTCTTTTCCCCCATCCCACCCACCCCAACCTCCCTTCATCCCAACATTGTGTTATTTGGAGCAATCATTGGAGGCTTTCTTTTATTTTCTTCTATGCCTTCCCCCCCCTTTTTTTTTTCCCTGTCTGCTCTTGCAGGAGTCTTTCAAGTTGTGTTTCAATTAAGATCTTCATAGCCAAGAGATCCTTCTTAGATCAGAGCAAAAGTTGATGGAGTCACTCCCTCCCTCCGTTACCACCAATTTCCTTTTTGATATTCAAAAATGTCATGTTTTGTAGTTCCGCATATCCAACACTGTTCAGTAACGATTACACTTTGTGAACATTACACCAGAAAGATCTGAACCAAACAGGCTTGTTTTCTTCCAAGTACACTCTATAATCTCTTTCTCTGAAGGTACAAGCAAACAGGACGGAGAGGGTGGCAGAGGAGAGGAGCTTGCTCTTTTTTAAGAAATGAAGTTGTTAAATTAAGCACTTGTGGTTTGCCTTCCAGTTTGCTGGAAAGGTTTGTTTTTATGCTGCAAAGGAGTCGGGTGCATTACCTCTCTGAAGGCAAACGGGGGAGTCGGCGAGTGCTGTATGAAAGCGGGGATTTAATAATATTAAAGGGCCTTCCATCATGTACTGTACTGTCTATATTTCCTTTTTAATGGGCATGCTTTAAAATTTATTTTAATTCTATTGATATCTGAGCCTTACGTTAACCGCCGTACGGTATAAAATTTTAGCTGTAGGAAACTGAGCAGTCATATTTTGCGGAGAGAAAGTGAAAATGGTGTCCCTACATATGTGCTAATTTTGAAGGTCTAGAACAGGGGTAGGCAACCTTTCCCCTTTAAGGTCCGAGGGACTTCAGCTCCCAGAAGCCTCAGCCATGTTGGCCAATAGTCCCAAGTTGGCCAATAGTTCCTGAGATTCTGGGAGCTGAAGTCCCTCGGCCCTTAAAGGGGAAAGGTTGCCTACCCCTGGTCTAGAAAGTATGACAACATTTGGGATACGAAGAAACAGGTCTTTAACTTTTGGATGCTGTCTTGAGTCCCAAATGTGAGGCTCATCTACCTCTTATCCTACTTCTGCCACCAATGGTGAGGACTTCCACTTATCCCACCCTGTCACCAAATTTGAGGACCTTCTGGATGTCCTCATGGTTCCTGTGTGAGACTTTATTCACCCCGTCTTCCCACTAGGCGCCCCAACCTTTGAATCGCCGCTGTGTCCACAGATGCTGTGAATCCAAACTCAAGCATCCCAATAGCCTTTATGCAGAGTTCTCAGGGGCACAAGTTGTTGTTGTTATTGTTGTGCCTTCAAGTCATTTCCAAA